TCTGCTCCTATGACTTTCTATTGAGTTGTCTAATTCTGAAATTTTATTGTTAATCTTCTGGATTTCTGATTGCTGTCTCTCTATGGATTCTTGCAGCCTATTAAATTTGACATTATGTTCTTGAATATCTTTTTTAAGTTCCACTACTACTGTCTGTATGTTGCCTGGCTGTTTCTGTGTTCTGTCGAATTTCCTTTCTTATTTCTAGAAGAGTTCTGATATTAATCTTTTGTATTCTGTCTCCGGTAACTCCCAAGAAGTTCTCTTCCTCCAGAGAATTCATTATTTTGGGAGCTTGCTGAAGCCATCATGGACAACCTCTTTATGTAACTTGATATTGACTGTTGTCTCTGAGCCATCAATAATTGATTATACTTTGCTTATTGAGACCTAGCTTCTTACTTTGTTTTGTTTTGATATGCTTAGGCTGCTCGTGTGCACTAGTTTGATTTTTGACACCTTTTGATCTCTAATGTCCTGTCACCAGGTAGTTGGTTCTGTAACTAAGTATGTGCACACTTGAGTTCATTAAAATTTCCTATGTGCGATCAGCTCGGGTGTGCAGGTAGTTGATCACCAAGTGTGTGATGCAGGCTCTCACCCCCAGTCCTAGAGAGGCATGCGTGATTGGTGCAGGCACTGGACTCTGGCTCTGGTAGGGGATCATGCGCTGAGCCAGGCACGGAGCCGACGGCTGCCCCTGAGAGTCTGAAAGAAAAGCATGTCCCTATTCTCTCGGGTGAATAAGTAGGTGAGTTTTGCAGCCGGGCTAAGTGCGCCCCACTATGTTGGCTGTAAAGACTCGAGGGCACCACTTTTTCTTGAACTCCTGTAGCAGGTGACTAGGCACTTTAGGAGCTATCACCAGTCCTCAAGACCCTGCTGCAGATCGATAAAAGTGCCTACTTGAGGGGGACGGCTGTTTCGAGGATCACAAATCTTCCCATTCACAGCTGAAGCAGTTGAAGTTAAACTTCAGATGTTTGCCCTATTGTACTGTGGTAGTGAGGGCTAACGCTGTTGAGATGCGTCCCCACAAGTCTATACAGGGGTGTATGGCACTCAGAGTCTGCGGACCCGATTTCTATGGCCAGCAAAGGAGTTGTGCCGACCCTGTGTTCCTGGTGTAGGGGAGCCAGCAGCTTATTTGTTCCCTCTCCCAGGCCAGAATGGGTCAGGGCACCTTTTGGGATCTATTTCCGGCCCAGTGGACTCCCAGTGCAGAGCTGGGAGGGAGGCAGTAAAAGAGAGGTTTTTCCCAAATCTGGTGCAGAGCACAGAGATAGGAGGTAAAAGGGAGAGAGGTTTTTCCCAAATGGGCTTTTTTTTTTTTAACTCGCCACGAAAGGGTGCACACATGTACTTATTCTAGCTGCTTGGGAGCTGCTCTTCACTGGTTTGGAGTGTCGAAGCAGAATCTCTGCTGCTGGGTCTCTCTCGATGTGGAAACTGCTTCTCAAGTGCGCACACAGCACAGCTGTTTGCCTGCTTCACCGCGGCCCGGCATGGCTGTGTCTCTGCTGTGTTGCCGCCGCGGCTCTAGCGCTCCTCCCCTCTTCCAAATGGTCTTCCTCACTGGTATGACTCAGATGGATTTCTTAACCTTGCCTTGTTCAGGGCTGCCAGATGTTCACATAGAATCAAATCACTTGTTTTTCCAGGTCTGTGTTGTAAGAGGGATATAGGAAGCGTCTAACTAGTCCACCATGTTGACCACGCCTCCTAGATCACTTTTCTTGAGAACAGGCATAAATATGGATCTCTTCTGGTCAACTGGCCAGGTAGCTGTCTTCCAAATTTCTTGGCATAGACGAGTGAGCACTTCCAGTGCTGCATCCGTTTGTTGTAACATCTCAACTGGTATTCCATCAGTTCCTGGAGCCTTTTTTTCCACCGATGCCTTCAGTTCAGCTTGGATTTCTTCCTTCAGTAACGATTCCTGTTCATATGCTGCCTTCTTAAACAGTAGAATGTCAACCAATTCTTTTTGGTACAGTAACTGTGCATTCTTTCCATCTTCTTTTGATGTTTCCTGCGTTATTTTCCCCATACAATTCATCACTATTGCAACTCAAGGCTTGAATTTTTTCTTCAGTTCTTTCAGCTTGAGAAATGCTGAGCGTCTTCTTCCCTTTTGGTTTTCTTTGCACATGTCACTATAATACTTTGTCTTCTTGAACCACCCTTTGAAATCTTCTGCTCAGCTTTTTTACTTTATCATTTCTTCTTTTTGCTTTAGCAACTCAACATTCAAAAGCAAGTTTCAGAGTCTCTTCTGATATCCGTTTTAGTCTTTTCTTTCCTTCCTGCCTTTTTAATGACTTCTTGCTTTCTTCATGTATGATGTCCTTGATGGACTCTGTCTATGAGTTGGGTCAATTAGCAGTGGAGAGGACGACAGCAGGGAGGCCGAAGGCAGACAGGCCTGCACAGCTGAGAAGGGGCATGCATGACCAAGAAAAGGCCTGTCCTGAGGGGGCTGAAAAAAGGCCTATATGGCTGAGAGGGGGCATGCATGGCACAGAGAAGAGCCTGCTTGCCTGCATAGGTGAGTGGAGCTGAGAGAGGTGACCTGCACTGAAAGGAGAGATGTGCAATCCACTTCGAGGGAGCCTTCCAGACCTCACCTACATGCTTCCTGATTCTGATCCAGAGTTATACCATTACTTCCTAAATCAACCACTTAACTGCCAAGTATGGTCTGTGAGTTCTGTCTGGCCATTGCAACAGATTATCAAAACCCGAAAAGAAGTAGAGTGCCATGGGAGGGACAGCTACTATCAGGATTGATTAAAAGGTTGGAGAGTGGCAGTATGACTAATCTCCACCTCATAGGAATCAGCTTTGTGCTAATCCTTGTTCTCATCCCTAAGGAATCTAGAGAAGTTCTGATGCTACTACTAATACCACAACAGCACAGCATTCAATCCAGAGGAAAGCCTGGCTTCTTGAACACTCACCCAAATCACCAAAGAATGGCCCCATTCTGACAACTACTTTTTAACACCCTCTGACAAGACAGACACTACACAGTCGTTCATCATGTCTGTTCATTCCAACTGCTACAACTCAGTATGCCCAATTTTAACTACACATGTGATCTGGATGGATTTTTTTTCTAGAGAGCATTGAAATGCTATTATTTTTTATTTTTAACAATGGATAAATTATTGCAATAATAAATAACATTAGTATAAAAGAACGAAAAATAAGATTTACCTGAAAGAAAAATGCCTGAACTTGTATGCACATAGTACTACTAAGAATGTGTAATGCTTAAATTGAAAAACTTAGAGTTGATTTGATAATCCATCATTGCAATAGAGTCTTTTAATGTATCTTCTCAGTAAAGGTAAAATGAAGAGAATAACATTTGTTAACAGAAAACTGAGGAAAAATAGATATTTCTAGAAAATACCTAGAGAAAGTTGTTTTGGGGGAAAGGACACGCTGTTATTAATGACACAAATTGAAATGTAACAACTGAACACATACTGAGGAAATCAAGAAAATGAGCTGGAAGCTAGTGTCTATGAATCCCCTATGCATTGGTCTGTCTCCCTGTATTGTGGTTCCAAAATCTCAGGAATAGCTTCTTCATTTCTGCCTTCCGAATCTCACTCGTTAGGAAATTGGTAGATTGAAATATGGAACCATAAAAAGAAAGTATTCTTTTCAATTTAATTCCCAGTATGTCCCATGTTGATATAATACAATCCAAGAGATCCATTTCTAACTCTAGATTTCATTATCATCTTAATGTAAAGCCTATGGTCCAATTTACAAACAGAAGGACAATGGGCAAAGGTTGAAATTAACAGTTCACTTGAGGTTATACTTCTGGAAGAAGTTCACCAATTACAAATTTCTGCCAAGTATTTATTGGAAAGAAAAATGGAATAAGAACACTGGCAATTAAAAAAAAAGATTCAATAAGAAAAATAAACTATGTATAATATGTAACTCATATCCAGTATCTACCACACTAGGCCTATTAAAAACTCCCAACAAATACCATATTGTTACTGTTCTAATAATCATTACTTATAGAACCCCATAAAAATTACATAAAAGTCTATATTCATATTACAAATATACCTTAAAACGCCCATGGCTCTATGGACTTCAAACTAGAAAAACTTTCACTTACTAATAAAAAAAACACTACCTGTCTAAACTTATGGAGCCCTGGTGGCGCAGTGGTTAAAGCTCTTGGCTGGTAACCTAAAGGTCGATGGTTCAAACCCACCAGCCACTTCAAGAAAAAAAGAAGTGGCAGTCTACTTCCATAAAAATTTACAGCTTTGGAAACCCTATGGGGCAGTTCTACTCTGTTGTATAGGGTCACTATGAATCAAAACTGACTTGACAGCAACTTGTCTGGTGGGTTTTTTTGGTCAAAATTTACGTACTATAAAGAGTTCTTACAAAATTATTTTACTCTTCATATTTATTTCTGAAAAGTAGTAAGTAGAAAGATACAACCTATCAGTCCACTTTAAGGATGAGATATTAAAAAAGGCAATAACACATTTATAATTTTCATAAGATTTTTCTCCTGGAGTGAATTTTCCAGAGCATGATATATGAATTACTTTTCAGGAGGCTTTCCAACCTTACTTTTGTAATATTCCTCTCTTGTATGTGTTCTCAGATGATACTGTAAAGCAGAAGAAAAATTAAAAGCTTTCCCACATTCATATGGTTTCTCTCCTGTGTGTATTCTCATATGTACTGGTACAGATGAAGGACTCTTGAAGGTTTTCCCACATTCCTTACATTTGTAAGATTTTTCTTCAGTGTGTGTTCTCATTTGTGTTTGTAAAGACATTAGCCATTTGAAGTCTTTCCTACATTGCTTACATTCATAGGGTTTCTCTTGACTGTGTGTTGTCATGTCTTGTTAAAGATGAGGGACACATGAAGACCTTCCCACATTCCTTGCATTCACGGAATTTCTATCGTGAGTCTTTTCGTGCCTTTGAAACGAGTCAAGAAAACTGAAGGTACATCCACATTGTTTACACTCATAAAGTTTCTCTTTCCTATGAACCTTTTCATGGTTTCGATAGGATCGGACATAAATGAAGGTTTTACAGCATAACCCCCATGCATAAGGTCTTTCTCCACTGTGAATTCCCACATGCCTTTTTAGTTCCGATGGATAACAATAGCCCTTTCCACATTCCAAACACTGATATGGCTTCTGTCCAGTGTGGCTTGCAATGTGTCTCTGAAACGATGAACGAGAAGTAAAGACTTTTCCACATTCAGTGCACTCATTTGGATTGACTCTACTAGTCATTTTCTTGTACAGATTAAGATTTGGGATCTGCTGGAAGGTTTCTCCCCATAGATTACCTTTGTTACTTCCACAGAGGCTCTCAACCATATAATCTCTGTTAAAACACAGAAGCATGTTATTAACAATATATTAATGATTAATATTTGTTAAGATGTATTAGGATTCTATAACAACCGTTTTTGTGATAAATATAAATTAGACTTTCCCTAATTGAACTCTAAGCAAATTGGGTAAAAGTGGGTGAAAGTCAATAAACTGAATGCTTTGAAAGAAGACTCAACCACAGTCATTTTAAAAACAGTGTTTCTTACATGGAGTTTTTTTTATCATTGTTCCCAACAGAATTATGTTTCCAACACTCAATGTCTAAGTCACATTTAATGAAAAATCTGCAGTGAAAATTTCTTGTGAATAAACAAGGAACTAGCCACATCTGAGTTTTTTGCTCATTCGTATGTTTTTATTAATTTCATGAAATACTAAGACTCTCTTCTGGGGTACTGTGTTATCTTGTGTGTGCTACTCACCGAAGAGGTATCCCCTTGTTTTTATGCTGATCTTTAATGCTAAAGCTTTTCCAGATTTTCCCTAAGATGGAGGCCGAAGAATCATTTCTTGTAAATTTTAGTATTTTATCTTCCTTGGGTATTTTTTTCTCATGAGTATTTTGTTGACAAACTGACCCAATGGTCTTAAATGTAGTCTCATAATCTGAAAGCAAAAACTGAACAAATCCTACAAGGAAGAAGGCTACTGACAGCAAAAAAAACAATACACTCAGGACTTTAGGATTTTAAAGACTTCATTAATAACAGGCATAAGGGGTCAAAATGGGAAGCCACTTCATAGACACAGAAAAATTCTCACAAAGTTTTCAAAACCAAACTTCTTTGGGCCCCAAAATGACCTGTGAAACCTATATCTACACTGATGACAGTAAGGGATATTCAAGTCTTCTAACCAAGACAAAAAGGAAAATTCAGTTCAACACATAGATCCTCATCCTTATGGAGAAACAATGAGATTCTACCTCCATGACAGCAGTGGCTGTGTCTCTCCTATTGATCAATGTATTCCTCTTTCCATATTCCAAATTTTGGAACAGGCCTTATGAACAAAAAATGCTCATTCTCTAAATAACTATGTGAACAAGTAATGTTATCCTTACCTAGTGAGGCCAGGTTCCTGAAGGTTTCCAGCATCACATCTCTGTAGAGCTTCCTCTGAATAGGATCCAGCAAAGCCCACTCCTCCAGAGTGAAGTCCACAGCCACATCCTCAAGGACAACTGACTCCTAAAACATACAACTTATGTATGCAGGAGAATGGGACAGCACTGGGGACTGGACTCAATCCACAGGAAGTTGAAACAAGATTCTGGGATTGCATAACAACTACCCTATGACCAAGTCGTCAGATCTCTTAACCTCGTACCCTGTGTTTACACACACTAACTCACAGGCTAAATAGCACTGCTAACACATGGAACTTGTCTCTACATTTTCACCGTGACCACTTCATTTCTCATTCCTCTCTATCATAAGGCTTCAGAGAACAATGGAGAAATAAGACAAATACTATACAAATAAAACAACTCTTTGCATTTTAAGACCATCAATGCCTTATGAAGAAACTATTTCATCTGCTTCCCTACTGCTCACCACTTCAAAGCACTACATGAATCACAGGATCCAACCTAGGTGAAGTTTTAAGAAATAAAAACATTTTCTAGGACTGGTAGTTTTTCCTTCTATTTTCCTCACCAAATGTGTGAGGTCAACAGGCCTATGGAAACCCCACCTGTGACAAGGGCCAGCTAGCTACAGTATCTTTAAAAGGCCAGGACATTAGGAGTGGACAAATCCAATCAGCTAAATGAAACTCGTTTTGGAGCAATATTAACTTTGACTTATTTAATAGTTATCACAAAATCACTATCTACCCTTCCTCTTTAAGCCATTTCATGGAAATAGTATATAAATGAGAAGCTAGAGCTAAGATGAAAAAACATTAGAATTTAGACATGCACACATTCCCTACACTCCTGAGCCTTGGTGCTGCTGCACACCAATCTTTAGTTCACACACACACACACACACACACTAAGGTGCCTCATAGCTTCTTCCACCAGAGCCAAAAAAAAGTACTCTGTGACTTTGAGGCACAAGTTATGAGTTCAACTCTGGTAAGCAGTGAAGTCCAAAAACACTGGACTATGAATTTTCCCAGGATTACAACATACATTAAAGAGTTAGCAGTGCTTTTCTCTAAAAGAACATACTCCCTGCCTCAATTTCCAGGAAGAATGACCCTCCAGAGCCACTCTAGAAGCTGCACTCCCAACTTCACTCATTTCCACACTCACTGTTGAGTGCACAAGCCTGACAGTCCAACCTCTGAACACAGGAATCATTGTGTGGCATGTCTCTGGAAAAGATCATCAACCTACTCACATCCAAGATCAGGGAAAAGAAAAAATGCTACCATTCAGAAATTCTGATGCCAGAATTCACCTATTCAGAAAAGCAGCAGCAGTAGAGGAATAAACCTACTGTTGGTGCACAGTAAAATGAGCTCCGTTATTGTCGTTGTTAGGTGCTGTAGAGGCGGTTCCGACTCATAGCGACCCTACGTACAACAGAAAAAAATACTGCCTGGTCCTGCACCATCCTCACAATCATTATGCTTTACCCATTGCTGCAGCCACTGTGTCAGTCCACCTCATTGAGGGTCTTCCTCTTTTTCGCTGACCCTCTACTTTACTAGGCGTGATGTCCTTCTCCAGGGACTGATCCCTCCTGATAACATGTCCAAAGTATGTGAGACAAAGACTTGCCATCCTCGCTTCTAAGGAGCATTCTGGCTCTACTTCTTCCAGAACAGATTTGTTCATTCTTCTGGCAGTCCATGGTATATTCAATATTCTTCGCCAACACCATAATTCAAAGGCATCAATTCTTCTTTAGTCTTCCTTATTCATTGTCCACCTCTCACATGCATGGGAAGTGACTGAAAACACCATGGCTTGGGTCAGATGCACGTTAGTCTTCAAGGTGACATCTCTGCTTTTTAACACTTTAAGGAGGTCTTTTGTGGCAGATTTGCCCAATGCAATGCCTCTTTTGATTTCTTGACTGCTGCTTCCATGACTGTTGATTGTAGATCCAAGTAAAATGAAATCCTTGACAACTTCAATCTTTTCTCCATTTATCATGATGTTGTTTATTGGTCCAGTTGTAAGGATTTTTGTTTTCTTTCTGTTGAGGTGTAATCCGCGATGAAGGCTGTAGTCTTTGATCTTCATCAGTAGTGCTTCAAGTCCTCTTCACTTTCAGCAAGCGAGGTTGTGTCATCTGCATAACACAGGCTGTTTATGAGTCTTCCTCCAATCCTGATGCCCCGTTATTCTTCATAGAGTCCAGCTTCTCTGAGGAATTCCTCAGCATACAGATTGAATAAATATGAAGGATACAATGCTGATGTACACTTTTCCTGACCATAAACCACGCAGCATCCCCGTGGTCTGTTTGAATGACTGCCTCTCGGTATATGTACAGGCTCCTCACGAGCACAATTAAGTGTTCTGGAATTCCCATTCTTCGCAATCTTACCCATTTGTTATGATCCACACAGTCACATGCCTTTACATAGTCCAAAAAAACAGGTGAACATCTTTCTGGTATTCTCTTTCAGCCAGGATCCATCTGACATCAGCAATGATATCCCTTGTTCCATGTTCTCTTCTGAATGCGGCTTGAATTCCTGGCAGTTCCTTGTTGATGTACTGCTGCAGCCGCTTTTGAATGATCTTCAGCAAAATGAGCTCCATAGGTCAGCCTTCACTGCTGATGGTAAACCTATCTTACACATTGTAGTAACCAAGTTCCGTTATGTAGTGCGCAGAAAAGAGTTAACATAAACATGGGATTTTTTATGCTTACAAAGGCCTCTGGCAAAGTTGGCCCTTGGTTATCATGTAAGAACTTGGATTTCAGGATGGTTCCAACAACCATTAATGTTAAGAGTGGTTCACTGTACCTAAACTGTTTTTGCACATAATATGTTGTATGCTGAATCTCTGCTTTCCTACAGTGAGTCTGGAATTTTGGTACATGCTAGGCAGAAGGTGCATACAGGATCATCTGCCAGTAAGAATCCCGGGAACTTTGTCTCTAATAAGCTGCTCTGGTTGCACATTTCACAACTGTTATAAATCACTGCTTAAGAAATGAAGTACAACCTGGGTGATTCTACTGTGAAAGGACTCTTAAAGGCTTATGCCTGTTAAATTGCATACCTAAATATGGTTAAACTTAAAAATCATGCTTTATGTACATATATATACAGATATAAATCCACAATAATGTTTTCAATAAAAACATAAAACGAAAAGCAAAGACAAACGTGCACTGTCTCTATTCTGGATGTTTCCTCATGGGCACTTCCCCTGAGTGTTCTTTTGCTGTAATAACAGTTGTGAGTATGACTTTATGCCACATCCTTCGAGTCCACCTAGCCAATCACTAAACATGGAGTTGGTCTTCGGGAGCCCTGGTACAGCTGGTGTTAAAGTGGGTGTAAAATGGTGGGGGTAATAACAGCAGCAGAAGCTAACTCCAGAGGGTATAATGGGAATCATGTTCAGTGCAAGGCTAATTCCCAGGAGGTGGTCAGATGTACCTCCATTCCCCAACCTTTCCACCACTTCTGACACCAGCTGTCATCCTCACAGCAGTCTCTACTTCTCTGCTGGGTTTGATAAACCATTGCAGTGGCCACAGAGAACTCACAGACTATACTTACAGTTAAATGGTTTGTTAAGGAAGTAAAAGGCTACAACTCGAATCAGGATCGACCGACTACAACTCAAGACCAGGATCAGGAAGCATGCAGGCAAAGTCTCCCTTCAGTGCAGGACAGCTCTCTCAGCTCCTCCTGGCCGTGCAGACCTCCTCTCAGCCCCCTCAGGACAGGACTCCTCTCAGCC